AATTATTTATCATATTAAATTCTTCTGATCAACTTAAATTATGAAGTTTGTTTTTAGTGACATCTAGCATTTGCATTCTTCTAAAGTAATATCTATATTGTACTCTTGTTAAAACCTAACCCAACTGTAGTATAGCGCTATCATTTGCTTGAAACTTACTTTTTGTAAAAATATTAACGAGAATAAAAAACTTTGAGTTCATATATTTCTATCATAATTGTTTTTTCTCATATTTCCATTGGAAATTCAAATGTTAATTTATGAAGTGCATTCGACTTTGATTTGCATTTTTTGTTGCGCTTTATATCATCAGATCACTTGCTATTAATCATTTTTTCAAGTTGTTAGTTTAAATTTATGATAAATACGTCATCATCTACGTTCTTTGTTTAAATGGCGCATATATTACAAATAGCATCTATCATCAACAATTTTTTAATAATTGATGACTCATGACATAAAGATATGATGGCGATGTAGATTAATAAAATGAATTCTAAGATCATTTTAGTCATACGTTTAATATCAAAGAAATATTTATTAACTAAAAATGAAGAATTGATTTGCTTTTTTTTTTAAAGAAAATTTATTTGTTTCGTTTTTGGTTTATAAATTAGTCATTATTGATTTTGTGTTAATCCTTTATACTAAAGAACTAATCCAATGTAATTGTAGAAATATCCTCGCTGTATTAAATCAAATAAATAAATACTATATTTATTCATTAGAACATTTTTATCTAAATAAACATTCATGAAATAAATGAGGAAATACGAATTGATTCTAGAAGAAACATTAATAAAAAGAATCAATTTAATCAACAGAATATGCCTATTAATAACTAAGCAAATTATGGAAAATCTATTCAAAGTGTGTATACCCTAAGGAATACATATTTGATATTGACCTACAAATTATAACAAAAATTTAATTGAAATCTAGAGACTGAGACTTATATTCAATTAAAATATGCCCGACATTTACGTTTATTATATAAATATGTATATTGTTTCTCTTAGATTTATTTCCAATCTAGATCTTTGGAATAATTAATTAGATATATTTGAATCATTTCTCTAGATGCATCATTATGAGAATATAAAGTAAAATGGAAATTTTCAATGGAAGAGTTTTAGTACGAGAAACAATTCACTGTAAATATTGCATTGAGTCAATAAGTACTAGCTGTGTTTGGATATGTGTATAATTAATTGAATTAATTCGTAAGATGTGATAAACAGTGTAAAATTTACTTAATTAACTATTTTCAATGAGTAAAACAGATTTATATATGCATCAGTTTCATAATTATATTGTCAATAATAAAATAATAAATGATCAAATACTAAAACAATTAGTAGCATCAACAAATAACCTTAATCTTTTACGTCAACTTGAAAAGGTGTTTGATTATTATATTGCCTTACAATATAAACAAAATGAACTACTTCTCGAAAATAAAGAAAATACCATGGATCACTATTGTCACGTATATTAGCATCATCAATGAATTCCCCGTCAAAAGCAATACTAATTGCTATTTTTTTTTACTATTAATCGATCGAATTGTGTTAAAATTGTTTGTTTTCGATTAGACGTATCAACATTTTGTGGTCTATGAGTTATTTAACATTGAACGAAAAAAAAAATTCAACTGAACCATAGAAAAACAATAATTCAAGTATTATTGATTCCACTTGAGCATATGGGTGGAATAGAGACCTCGTCTTCATCCAAATCCACTATAGCTCGTACTGGAAAAAAAAGAATAAAAGACATGAAAAAAAAACAGTATAGGCAATCTAGTTGTCCGATGTACAGTTTTATAGCAGGAAATTAGCTCTATCAAATGAGATGCAAGTCGAATACAATGCAATAAGTTACTGTTAGAAAAGTTCTTAAATCCGAATTAATTAACCGTATTAAATGCAAACGAAAAAAAATTTCTTCTAAAAAGTGGATTGTAATCCTTGTCGGTGTTTGTTGCTTCATCATTTACCAGAGGCAAACTATGTGGGTAAAAAACGTTTTCCCTGAGTGATTTGCCATGATACTTTTTCATTTGATATCAAAAATATAGGGGTCCAAAATTGTCAAGATTATGATCATGTTTACCAATATTCATTATTCTCATGGACCATCTTTTAAAAATTGTAGAATTTTTGAATTTATTAGACATTGATTCGCATACTTAGCTCTAATAACTAGCATTGTAATAGAAGCTGGAAGTAAAATAATTTGCCTCACTATTCTCGCACACAAATTAGTAGTGATATAGTAGAATATGTTACAACAATTATACAAGTTAGTGCTGAAATATTTAACTGGCATCAAATCAACTGTTTGGTTTGGCTTTATGGTTGATATTGTTTTAGGTTGCAATCCTAATGATAAAACTGTGAAGTAAGTATCATTACTCCACTATTAAAAAAACACTATATCATCAATCTACTGCACATGAGCTTACGCTTATTAAGTAAGATTTGTTCAGAAGAGTTTTTATTAATTTCTTTTTATTACGTTCTTATTAGAAGATAAAAAAGAAAATGAAGAAGAGAAAAGCAATCTATTTTTACACGAAATTGCTTTTGAAATTAAGACTGGTTATACAACAGATCTCGTTATAGGGCATTTTTTCAGTTTGTTGTCTTGTCCGTCGCGTTTTGGTGCATACTGCCTTGCGCTGTATAGTTGAGAACTTTTTAAATCTGTCTCATTCTAGACAGCAAATGTATAAATTTCGTTTTTTATTCACGATTGCTTGAACGATCAATAAAACACTACTGACTTTTTAGGATTAGAGTACGCACAACCGTGACGGTAAGATGAAGCGTGAAGATATGATTTCTGTCGGGGTGATAGTCATCTCTACAAGCTCACTTTCGTATCTTCATCAACCTTCACTCACCCACCAACACTTTCAACCAAAATCTTTGTTTGAGAATGGACAAAATGTTTGTGACAGCGTTGATGCTCTGCCACTGAGCACATAACTCTGCTAAAAATCTGTTCACTTAGTAACATCCTTATCTGAACTACATTTTCCTCACGAACGAGTTTCAGAACATTTTACCTATGACTAAGAGTCATGGAATTTCATTAAAATTCTGTTGCCTCTTTTGAATTCTTAAGCAAACTTGATTTCTCCGAAGATGTAGTGTGCGATTAAGTTATTTTTCTAGTACTGATATGAGGATTCTGATAAACTCTGTTGGCTGTTCACTGGATAGTTCATTAGATTTTGCTTGGACTAGTATGGGTTTGACAATGTTAGTAAACAATGGAAGACGGACAGTTGCAAATCATCAAAGTTCTTAACTACGATAATGGGGTGGCTGAAATTTCTCCAATAACACTTTCCCCAATAGAACATTCGCCAACGGCGACACTCCAGATCGTACGTTGACTAAAGTAGGGTAGAATTTCGCAAGCTGCCACGAAATAATATTAATATAGAATACATGTGAAGGCTGAAGTAACGATGTTATAATATATATATGTCATAGCTTTTACTCATCATTGTAGTCTACAGGAATTTATTTAATCCATACTTAATTCACAGTCAAATTGGGGAAATTCCGAAGCTCCCGATCGTGTATGCCCTCTACAGTTTTTTCTCATTGGCTTTCTTATTTTTTTCATGCTTGAGATATGTTATGTTTGTCTGTGCTGTTCACAATAACTTAAAATAAATAAGAAACAGAAAGGAAAAAAGCAGTGTTTCATACTTTCTGTATCTTAGAGTAGGTGACGGTTATATTTTTCTCTTGCTATGCATTCTTCAACATCAAACATTACTGTGTTTTCTATCATCGCGTTACTTATCTCGCCATTGCCCTCAATAGTAGCAACAACTTCACATGGCGACCAAGATAATTCAAGTTTTCTACAACAAGTTTGTTCAAAACTGGGTCTCAACGAAGATCAATGTTGCAAGTTGAGTAAAGTCAGCTCGTTTGCTGGATACGCAGCAGCAGCAGCAGCTTTTGGTACAGTTGGTATTCCTGCTCTGCTCGCCTATATGGGTTTCACTGCAACTGGCATTACTGCTGGGTCGTGGGCTGCATGGTATCAATCAACATATGCAATTGGAACTGCCTTTTCATGGCTGCAAAGTGTCTCAATGACAGGCATAGTTGCATCGGCTGTAACAAAAACAGGTGTGGTGGTGGTTGGCATCAAAAGTTATTTTTTCAGTAGTGATTGTAAGAAGAAATCAACAGCAGATGATGAATGTCGAAAAAAATAATTAATGAACAATATATTGACTAATGCATACTTTTTTTTTAATTAAAATTCTTCAGACTATTGCAAAGCAATTGATTAACGGGCACTAGTACACTTCGTCGCACGACACTTCGTCGCATTCACTTCGTCGCACGACATTTTGTCGCGTTCTGTTCGTCGCAGAATTTTTTTCGTTCTGTTCGTCGCAAAATTTTTTTTTCGTTCTGTTCGTTTCTGTCTACTTGGTGCATCGCTCTTAATCAATTCTTTTTTTTTTTAATA